TGATTTCATTCAACGTTATATTCAACCTGAAGAACAAGAATATTTTCGTCTGTTTGCTGGATTACCTGGTACTCAAGTTTATGAAGACATGAGCCAAGGACGTTCACAATATTGGCGAGTTGTATTTCGAAAGAAGACAACAACAGATATGCCTGTCATCTGAAAACAAAGTTTAACTGAACAAAAGAAACACTTTTTCTTTTTTCAACTAATCATACTTTTTATTTTTCTCCTTACTTACTAATCTCATATTATTCCACTTCATACTAATATCTCATTTTTATTTCTTAACTAATAAATTATCTTTATAATCGTGAATCTCTATTTATTTCATCATATTGAATAAAATGAAGTTTTAGGAAAAACTACATATTAAATTATCTTTTTATTTTTGACACAAATGTTGTATTGGATTTTTCAATCATTCAATTTTAGTAGATATATTCAGAATAGAAATAGAATGTAATTTAGATTAAATAATGTCTATTTAAATTAACAAGGAAATGTCTTCAAATTTGCTCTAACTATTATTTATTCGACAGTAGTATCATTCAACATACTGAATTAGTACTTTTACAATTCATTAGGATTAATCATGTATCCGTATACTAATTCATCTGAGCTAGTGTTAAGTCGATCATGGGAATAGCTTATACAAGTGAACAATACGACAGTGAACTGGTTAGGCGTGAGTATGGGTGTGGGTGTGAGTGGGTTTAGACTTTGACCTCTGCTTGTCCGACACTCACTCCACACTCACATCCTTTTTGTTTTGATATAGATCCTCAATTATGTGGTAATTGTGCATCACCATATTCGACTATTGATAACGATGATACATCATTCACAAGAAAAAACCATCCCGATTGTTCTTCCAATTTGTAGTGTATAGATTATAATTATTGTTTGTTGGCGTGTGTGTCGATGCGAGCACAAAAATATGTCTAATCAACAATTAACATTATTGGGATATAATCGAACGGTTCGAATACGAAAATTTTCTCTAACAAGTATTCAAAGAAATGCAACAACAGTAAATGAAATTGATGTATCTTTTACAATTCCATTATCAAGATAGTTTGATCCCTTAGAAGAACGACCGCTATCATATGAATCAGTTACATTATATAGAAGAACACAACATTAGACACAAGTAAAAGCGATTGCATTCAAACTTTCATGGTTATAAAGGAAAAACAAAAATTCAATATCCGCTAATTTTCTTTTATTGAGGGTGTAGGTGTGGATGTCAGACAAGCAAAGATCAAAGTTCAAACCCAGTCACACCCGCAAGATTTATACACACAAGTATGTATGTGTATTACCTTATCAATCGGCTTGTCTTTTACGTTTTTATTATTCCCAGAGTTGTTCTCTGTGCGCGCGCCAGTCAATACAAACTAGAATTAATTGAAAAACCAATGGATAAAAGATTCTTTTATTTATTTATCAATTGTTTTTTATAAGTGCTTTTTTACAATTTCAATACTTTCTTTCACAGTTTTTATATTAGAATGAGTTGGAGGTAATGCGCGTTGAAATATATCCAGAGCACGTTCAAAATATGAAAGTGCTTTTGAATAGTCTTCCATAATGTAACATACACCAGCGATGTTATTGTATGAAGCAGCGAATGAAGGATGATTTGAAGGAAGATTTGTTTGCCGAATTTCAAGTGCTTTTTCGTAAAATGAAAACGCTTTCGAGTACTCTCCCATGTTATCATACACACTGCCTATGTTGTTGTATGAACTAGCCAAATCAGGATGATTTGAAGGAAGAGCCTTTCGATATATTTTAAGTGCTTTTTCATGGGATGAAAGTGCCTTTGAGTACTCTCCCATGCGTTTATACACTTGACCGATGTTGTTGTATGAAGTAGCCAAATGAGGATGATTTGAAGGAAGAGTTTTTTGCCAGATTTCATGCGCATTTTCGAAAAATGAAAGTGCATTCGAGTACTCTCCTATCTTATCATACACGCTACCGATGTTGCTGTATGAAATAGTCAAATCCGGATGATTTGAAGGGAGAGTTTTTCGATATATTTTAAGTGCTTTTACGTGAGATGAAAGTGCTTTTGAATACTCTCCCATGCTATCACAGACACTACCAATGTTGTTGTATGAAGTAGCCAAATCAGGATGATTTGAAGGAAGACATTTTTCTCGAATTTCTAAGGCTTTTTCGTAAAATGAAAATGCTTTCGAGTACTCTCTAATCTTGTTATACACATTACCGATGTTGTTGCATGAAGTAGCCAAATAAGGATGATTTGAGTGAAGAGCTTTTTGATCAATTTCAAGTACTTTTCCGTAAAATGAAAGTGCTTTTCCGTACTCTCCGATCTTGTTATACACCATGCCGATATTGTTGTATAAAGTAGCCAATGACGGATGATTAGAAGAAAGAGTTTTTTGCTGAATTTCAAGTGCCTTTTCATAATACCAAACAGTCTTTTCATAATCACCTTGATTCAAATGGATCGATCCCAACTGATTATAATAAAGCGTTCTTTCACTCGTATCTGATGTTTGCTCGACTAGTACGTTATAAAGTTCTTCAGCTTTATTAAACTGACCAATTCTAAGCAATAAGTTACCTAATCTCTCCCATCCAGTACTACTACTAACTTCTTCTCGTATTCGATCAGTAAGTAATCGTAGTTGTTGATCATCATCCGATGTTAACTGTAATTCAACTTGATAAAGTTTATTCTTATCGTCCATTTGTTTAATTTCACCCACCCGAAACACGGTGTGCATTGAGAAGAGAATTTCATCATCTTTCTTAAAAGAACTCATCTCTTTAATAGAGGCATATGGTACTGACCTAATACAAGGATCAATGAGCATTACAAAGAGAATGCCCACCATATCTAGTCTTGTCGAAGCACGTCGAGCAAATTCGAGGGATACTTTTTCATCTTTACTGGTGGGCAAGAAAGTGTTACTCGACATTAGTCCACCTTTTATTTTTTGAAGTTTTTCAAAGTCTAACTGGATCAGACCTTATCCTCGATAAACTACAAAAGACTTTGCACCATAACCACTAACCTGTTGCTCGTACAGCTGTTGAATTTGTTGATGTAGATCACGTAGAAAGAAGCCCATATTGATGATTATATCGGCATCCAATGTTCGAAGTGCTTGATTGAGCATTTTATAGGTAAAACACTCACGAGTATACCACCATATTGCTTTTTGTGGGCGATAATCATGTTCGAATTCATTAATCAGTTGTAATTCAATAGTATTGCCACTAAAAACTTTGCGACAACAAGCTGCTAAGTTCTTGATTGCCTTGCGATCATATTCGATTTCAAGAAGGATCTCCTTAAATAGTTGTGTGTACATAAAAACTGACTCCAACTGATTTAAATTCTCAGGTGAAGCTATTTCGTTTATCGTAAGAAAAGTGGAGGCAATTGTATCCTGCTCGCATTGTTTAAGCGCTACTTGTAATGCTTGACAGATGTCTTTGACATTTGTATACACACCTTTGATTTTTGTCCAGTTTTGTGTCCATTCTTGATATCTGAATTTATTGCCACAGAAGATGTAAATGGCATCTAACTGTGGCATGCCATGGATTTCAGGAATCAAATGTTGACCTAATGCGGATGATGTTATAACAAAGGCTCTTTCATGAGCATATTGCTTGAGTACTTGGACACATTGATCCGGTTGCGTGCATAGTTTAACGTCGTTGATCACATTCTTCAAGTGAGCCAGCGTGTTTTTGCAGTCCTTGTTTGTTTGGTCGATACTGGTATCTATCCAAACTAGAAGGTAATTTGAAGCAATACGTTGTCGTGGTTGACGAACATAAGACGCGGCTGCTTCATGGGACGATTTTACGCTCGGTTTGAAAGGTTTCGAGTCCATGATACGTATATGTGTTGATAATTATATGTAGTTGAAGAGTTGATTAATAAATGGTTAAGAAAACAAACGAATATCGTTATTTATATGAGAGTTAGACGCCTTTATCTCAATGTGTTTATGGCGTCATTGATGATCTTCTTTTATTTATTTTGAGTAGTTACAATAGAAGTTTGTCCTTTGCATTATTTAATGTGCCTTATAAAGCCAGGTGAGTAAAAAGAACAGCAAAAAAAAGAATTCATTTTTTTCCAACTTTCTTCACAGATAAAAGATAGTTTCGTCACTAACAAAGAAGCACATATTTACTTCGTAGGTAATGCACATTAAAAAACCTCTGGCAATGGCTCTATTCTAAAATATCAGAATAAACATACATGAAATGATTTGATATTAATAAATATGGGTATGGGTGTGGGTGTGGGTGTGGGTGTGGATCCATCTTTTCTTTACCCACATCCTCGTACTCTGGTCTTTATAATAACTCTAGTAACCTTAAACCTACATCATACATTATCTGTTTCTTCATACTACATTCGGTATATTCTGAAATTTTTATGTAGTCTAACACTATCTACTATAGAATCTCAATTTCTCGAAAATTCCATGTATATTAATATTGAATCAATTCATATTTAGTTTATACTAAAATTCTAGAATTCAGCTCAGTGCACATCACGTTATATGAAAATTTTGTTAAGAAGGCATTGACAATATTTATGTTATATGTATATGTATATAGACGATTCGAAAAGTAAAATTCTATAAGAATTCTAAAATATTAGAAGAGGGTCACGTCTCTATTAAACTCATTGTTCGATAAATTAACAATTTATTCAATATTAAAATTATGATAGTAACTACCCGAAGTACCCGTCGTTGCCAGAAACATTTAGGTGATGAATGCCGGTACAATATACTAATGATATCAACATTGTCAAAACCTCTGATTTTGATCTCATTAGATATAAATGAAAACGATTTTATCCAAACTTTCACGATTATTAACGAAAAGCAAAATTCAATATTCATTAATTCTCTTTAATTCTTGTATTTTTATGTTGTCTACTATTTGGAAAAATAAATATTATTTTCCAAGGTGTGGGTCGAAGGAAAATGCTCACATCCACACAGTAACTCTCAATAAAAAATCAATAGATATAGATAATTAATAAAAACACTTTTTTTACTAATTTTTGTTTGAAATTAAATAGATGCTTAATAGTTACAAGATAAAAAAATAAATCTATAATAAAACGAACATATTTTTAAAAGTCCCATTAGTATTCATCCTAGAGAGGTTTCAGTGTAATGAGTATCAAGATATGCTGCATCGTAATACGTTAAATCTAGAAGTAAAAGTACAAGAAAAATTATCATCCTTTAAAGTTAAAAGTCCGAAGTATTTTAGTACAAAATAAGTGTTTATCAAAAATAGAACACCTGTTATTTTTTCTTTTCAAGATTACTACTAGTAATAAAAGAAGATTAGCTGATATATAAAGACAGTATTACTACTGAAGAGACGGATATAGCAACTTTTTGTAACAAAATCTATGAAGCTTTCAATCTTATTATTGATCGGATGTCTTTTATTTGTTGTTGTGCACTCCACACAATCGAGTGAGAGAGGTTTAATTATGCATAAAGGTAAATCAGCTCTGTTTAACAATATTCATATATGAAATTTTATTTCTATAGGCACATGTCCTCAACCACCATTACATATAATGTGTCGTCGTATGGTTTGTACTCCTCAAATGTTAGAAAGAACTTGTTCAAATGATGGTGTGTGCAAAGAAAATGAGAAATGTTGTCATATACCATGTTCATGCAAAATAAAATGTGTTGCAGTATAAAAACAGTACACCAATATGATTTTTTCTGCATCGACATTTTTAAACGTTGTTATTGATCTACTTTGATCATCTTTAATAAACATTTATGACTATCTTTATATTACTTCTTCATGTCTCATTCGGGCTTAGATATTAATAGTGAGGGTATAGGTATAGTTGACAATCTGAGGTGCCTTTATCCACATCCTCAATATTAAAAAAATTCATTTCCTCAAAAAAAAAAGAATGCATGACGTAGTTAATTACGTCAATTGATTATGTATTTCTGTTAATCGGAAAATTTTTAGTGTGCTTTCACGGTACCAACACCCTAAAAACAAATGTTGCGTAAATTAATAAAAAACTGATAAAAATGTTTTGTGAAAATAAGCAAATGCGTATAATAATAATATTCCAAAATCAAATAGATTAGTAACTTTTGACTCTGATAAGCCGATATAAATCCACTAAAATATTTAATCACTTGTAAAAAACTCCTATGAAATGTAAAATACTGTCAACTATTTTTTTCAAAATGTAAAGGACGAAAATAATTTGTTTTTTTCAGTTAATTTTGATCCATATTTAATACATAATTTTTTTCTTTCTTTGCTTGATTTTTTGTTAATATATCATGTTGTTCTAAATTCTTCACAACTTCATAATATCTTTTGATTCGGTTTGAAGCACACGACGAAAAAATAGAAATGATCAACTAAATTAAAAATACCAAGTCTCATATATACCAAATGAAGAAAAAATTCCACAACTCATAAACTATACAAAATCAATGAGCCAATATCACCTTTCTCCTATATAAATTTTAATAGCATATTCTTTGTATGTTAACAAAAAGATCTTTTTTAGTTCTTATAATATATTTGAATATAAGGCAGCATCTCGTATTCAAAAAAAGACATTTTGTATTCTATAGTTCTTCGTTTTCAATGATTGAAATTCTTTAGCATTGACGACTATCGAATATTTATATTTTATATCACAAACTTCGCCTTTGACTGAAAGTTGATATTATTTTCCTGACAGGCCACGCCCTCTTTGTGTTTTTAAGTATGAATGTTATCGATACACCATACAAAGTAAAACAACAGAACAAAAGGTAAATATTTTCGTTCGTTGGAAATTATCAACAAAATATGCGACCATGTGTTTATTTCATCTTGAGGGTGGGTGTGAGGTTCTGAAAGCGAATAATATTCTAATCCATACCTTCTTTCATGAAAGTTTATGATTAAATGAATTTCAAATCGCAACCTGATATAAGACGCTCTGTTTTCTTGTTCTATTTTGAGTGAAAACTGCAGAGAGCTTATTTTTGTTAGGTTCATATGTAAAGATGACGATTTGTATTATTTATTGTAGATTTTTCACTCCAATTATTTGAAAATGAGTAAACCTGGACCCAGTGGTAAACCAATGATTTATAATGTTGAATGCAAAAGCAAAGCAGATGCCAAAAACAAAGCTAGAAGTAGCAGTCCAGGATCAAGTAACAGAGGTGGACATATACCTGAGTTTCATAAAGCTCACAAGGAAGGTCAAAAGGATCATGAGCATCCAACTAATGCCCAAGGCAAAAAAGAGTTTGGTGCGCCTCATTTCAACTTTGGAAAAAAGAAATAATTACTGAATCTCTTTATATTCATTTTCTATTTGACAAATAATTTTCTATTCAATATATAATAAACAAGAACCAATTTTCGATTCCATTATTAGTCACTCATTCATCAACGCAAATTCTTCATCTTGAGGATACGAGTAGCTTCACTTCTATAATTAGGATGTGGGTGTGTTTGAGGAGATTTCTCTACAATCACCCACACCCTCAGGATGATCTTTACACAAGCACAGAAACAAAAAAAACAGAATGTATATTTCATTATAGTATACATGTAAAGAGTCACGAATAATATCATAAATTCTTTAAATACATTCATGCCTCATTAAAATATAAATAATTCATTTTACAATAATATTTTATTTATTATATATACCGGTACCACGATTACTCAGTCTTGGTAAAAAAATATGATTAAGAGTATCACACATACGTCAATAAAAATATATATATATATATGTAATAAACAACAAATATGTTAAAATAACTACAAAACATATAAAGTTATATGTGTATATACAATTAAAATGAAAATTTATTTTTTCATTGATTCATTAGATGTTTCATCATCTTCATGATGATTTGTATCCATTGGTGAATATACTGATGATTGTTGACCAGTATAACGTCGTTTTTTAAATGGTAATTGTTCTTCAAATTGTTTAGTTGTATCCATAGGTTGAACTTGTTTTGTTTCTTCATTTTCATGTCGTTTATTTTGTAATAATAATAATGATTCATTTATTGGGCTTGATTGTGATTGTATTAATGAAGCATAATGTGGATTAGGAAATTGTATTGAAGGATGATTTAAAGGTGTTATTATATGTAATGGTTGTGTTGAATGTTGAGTTGGATTTGTAATAAAATAAGCTAAATTTCCTTGAGGAACAAAATAAGTTGGTAATGAATGTGATTGAGTTGTAGAGAAAAAGCCAGGTATTTGTGATAATGATGCTGGTGGAATAGCAATATTTGCTGATGTTGTAGATGGAATTTGTATGGGCATTGTTGTTGGATTACGAAGTGATGATGAAAATTTTGGAGAATAACAATGAATTGATGGATGATGATGTTGTTGAGATGAGTCAATAGGATTATCATTGTATGAACTTGTAACACTCGATGGAGGTGATATGAAAGATGATTGAAATCCTAGAATAATTTTTAAGGATGATTGAAAATTTGTCTTATTATTTCATACCTGAACTTCTTGATATTGATGAATTCTCAATATTAATCGGTGATGAAGCTTGATAATTTGATTTATTCATATTACTCATTGTACGAGGTGATCGTATTGTATATGGTAAATGACCTGGTGAATGTAAATGAGATCTTGAATTTGAGAGAGATGGTGGTGGACTTTTTAAAACATTATTATGATTTTTTCCTAAAATATTTTCACTAATCGTTCGTGATCGTGTTGTTTTGTTTTTAGGAATCGATCTTTCGATTTGTTTTATTGTTTCCATTTCACTTGCTGAATCCATAGATCTTAAAAAAAGTTTATTAAAAATAAAAACTACTCATTATTCTTACTTTTCTTCTATATATACTTGTCGGGATGATAATTCTCGATAATAATCTTCATCTAATTGAACTCTACCGACACCATTTATTTGGTGAATATCAGAATGTTCTTGTATTTTATTATTACAATCAAAACAACCAAGAAATTGAATACATATACCATCAACAATCATTTTTCCTGATATACGAGTCTAAAAATTGAATCAAAAAAAATACTGATGAAAATTTTTGTATATTAAATTTTATACTTTCGAATGATCATATTGATCAGGTATACTTTGAACACAATCGAGAAAAAGTGAATAACCAATATTTCGAAATGTCTAAACAAAAAATTTTTTTTAGAAAAAAAATCATTGTTCAAATAGAAAAAAACAACTTACAACAACTAAATGTTTATTTAAAATATCTTCATCAAAACGTTTTGTTAAATCTGATAAATCTTGATTATTATTATGAAAATCATTTTGAAATGGGACATAAAAAACATCCGTTTCTTTTAATAATTTACTTAATTCTTCATGATGTTCGAATGATTCTTGTTGAGATGGTAAAAGACCTATTGCAATTGACATTTTTTTTCTAATATTTTACTTGAACAATGACCGCAAATAGAAATTAAATTGAATGACTCGGTTGTTTATGTGGTGAAATGGTTTTTATTTATGCATGATTATTTATGGTCTTATGACACACAACTGCTATTGGATAGCACGTGCCATTTGTTCTTCTCTATGGACTTTATGACTAATAACCAATGAAAAAATAAAGATGAAAATTTATCGTGGTAAACATTAATAGATGTACGCATAAATCAGATATACACAAATAGCCTCGAAAAAATGTAACATCGAATAAATTATTTCAAATAAATATTATATATTTTATTTTTAGTACAAAATGACATCATCAACCGATATATTAATTGTTGGTGCTGGTCCAACTGGTCTTATGTTCGCATGTCAACTTTCACTTCATCCAAATATATCTTTTCGTATTTTTGATAAAAATCCTACTCGTGCAACTGAATCGCGTGCACTTGTTGTTCATGCTCGTTCAATGGAAGTACTTTCACAACTTAATCTTATTGACAAAGCAATGTCTAAGGGAAAATTAGTTGATAGTATGAATGGATTTTTTTCCGGTAAACGTGCTTTTAAAATGGATTTTACTAAGATGCGTGATAAACAACAACCTTTACTTACACGTTATCCATATGCATTATTTCTTGAACAATCAAATACTGAAGAATTATTAGAAACATATTTAAATGAACATGATATTAAAGTTGAACGAGGCATAGACGTAATGGATGTTACAGATATTGATTCAACAAATAATACTGGTGTTGAGGTGACTTTATCTAATGGTGATCGTGTTCGAACAAAATATGTTTGTGCATGTGATGGTGCACATAGTACTATTCGACATAAATTAAATTTATCATTTGCTGGTCAAACTTATTCATCATCATTATTTATTGCTGATTGTACAATTAGTAATTCACCAATGGGACAACATGAAGCTGGATTTTTTTTCCATAAAGATGGCTTCGCTGGTATATTTCCTATGGTTGGTGATCAATGTCGTATTGTGGCAACAATTAATGAAGAAAAACAAAAAAATGCTGAAACAAGTTTTGAACATGTTTCAAATATGGTTAAAACTCGTAGTCGATTTCACAGCTTAAATATAAGCAATTGTATATGGTCATCTGTATATCATTCTCATCATCGTCGTATTACAACATTTCGATCTCGAAATCGATATTTTTTACTTGGTGATGCTGCTCATATTCATTCACCAGTTGGTGGTCAAGGCATGAATACAGGTTTACAAGATGCACATAATCTTGCTTGGAAATTAGCTTATGTCTTAACACATTCAGCAAATGATCGTCTTCTTGATACATATCACGATGAACGTTCCGTTGTAGCCAAGACATTAGTCAATACAACCGATCGATTATTCTCAATAATGACTAGTAATAATTGGTTTGTGAAATTTTGTCGTCTTAATATTGTGCCATATATCTTACGATTTTTTATTCAACCATTATTAAATTATTCTCAAACTCTTCGACAAGCAGCATTTCGTCGAATTTCACAAACAGGTATTACATATCGATCAGACAAAATTTATGATTATGGTGCATCAGCAGGAAATTTCCATAAAAATACTCCATTGCCCGGTGATCGTTTTCCATATGTTATTTTTGATTCATGTCATTATCATTTAGTTATTTTCGAAAGTCAACAATTAACAAAAGTATCTCAATTTATTCAATTTATTAAAACAAATTATCCCGAAATTATTCAAATTCATGATGTTCATAAAGAAAACATTCCATTACGATTTCAAGGTGCTATTCTTATTCGACCTGATGGATATATTGCTTATCGAACAATTGTATTTGATACAAATCATTTTCGAGCATATTTTGCTCAATATTTTCCTCAAGCAATAGTGATATAATTTATTCTCTTCCAGAACATTTCTATTTTTCTATAATTATTTCAGCAATAAACAAATAACCATGTGTAATATTATTTTTTTATACTTTTGTCATCAGAATTAAGAATATCGAATAAAAAAAAATCGATGTATATAAAAATTTCATTTAAATATATGTAAACTTAACAAGGTTAAATTTCTTCATATAAAAGATCAGTAAAATACAAAATGAAATACTTTTGTATCTCATCAAACAGTTTAATTATCTATTCTTTTTGTATGTCATATACCAATTGAAATAGTGATGATTAGGTAAACGTATACATGTATATATAGATACGAGTATACGAACCTGTTCGATGAAGCGCAAATGTTTCATTTCTATCAATCAAGTACATACACATTCATCATTTGTTCAAATAAACGAAAACGTGAAGGGAAGAACGACAACGAGGACAAGCTACTTTTCTTCTGATCGATTTTTCTATACTTTAGCTCGTGTATACAAGGTTTCAATGCCTCTTCAATCTTCAAGATTTTCTGATGCTTATGAAGTTTATGTTGATTATGGAAAAGGAAAACCAATTAAAATGAATAAGAATGAAGCAATATTTATTGATGTTGAAAAATTTCTTATTGAACAAATTGATCAAAAAACAATGATGACAAATAAAAAATTTTATGAAAATAAATTATCAAATAAGAATGTTTATAAACATGATTTAATGATAAATAATGAAGAATCGTAAGTTTAAAAAATTCTAATATTTTCAAGGATTTTCTGAAATATAAAGGTTATGTTGACCTCAATTTTCCTTTTAGTTTGATAGGTAAAGTAATTCGTCGTTCAAATTATTATCAATATGGTCAAGAGAATATCAGTCCTCCAATTTCTCGTAATTATCAATCAACTTTTACACCCGATAGTTCTCCTCGACATTCATCACATTCATCATCATCAACATCATCATCTCGAACTGAACCCAAAATAATCTATGATGATACATGGTTAACAAATAAACAATATAATCCACGTATAAATGCATTTCTTGATTATGTACATGATAGATTTAATGATAAAACTAAACAATTATGTACGGAACGGAAATCAACACGTACAAGTATTGATGAAATATCTCCAAGATCTACGATTTCGGAAAGAATATATCCAATAATAAAGGAAAAAAACTTATGTTTACATATTGCTGTTAATGGTGTTTCGAAATCTTTACGAGGACAAATACCATTATCAAACTTAAATATAAATAATGGAGATTTTGGTGATGATGCTGGAATGTTTGTTGATACTCGAAATTCTTGTTTTGTTGGTAAATTTTTTAAAAATTACAAAAACAACTTATATTTATTATTTATAAAGGTCTAGCCGATGGTGCTGGCGGGAATCGTTCACTTGGAATCAATCCAGCTGATTTTTCACAAGCTGTTCTAAGTGCTTGTCGAAATCTTTTACGTAAACATACTGTTCACTCAAAACAATTACCAGCATTGTTATTAGCAGCTATGGATCATGTTGAAGCAAGTGCAATTCGAGGTATGAATTATAATTAAAATATTCTATCTACAATTCAATCTTATAGGTAGTAGTACATTATGTTTACTTGCTTTGGATAAACAAGAACATACATTAACATCATTAAATATTGGTGATAGTGGATTTGTTATTTATCGTAATAATGAAATATATCGTCGATCAACAAGTACAATGAATCCAAATGGCGCTGGACCAAGACAATTATTTTCTCTTAATGATTCATTAGGTTTACCTTGTTTTATAAATGAAAAGTAAATCATAATGATACATATATATTCAATTTTGATTCTATATGTTTTTTTCTAGTGAAATATTACGTGATTGTTCATTAGATACAATGAAAGTTCAAAAAGGTGATGTTATTATTTTATCTTCCGATGGTTTATGGGATGTTATCAAAACCGATCAATTACAACAGATTATCAAACGTAATACAAATAATGTTAAGTTCTTTCTTATATGAAATATTTTTATAACAAAAAATTTGTTTTTATTTTATATAGTATCTTCAAAATTTAGCTGATGATCTTCTTAATCAAGCAGTTGAAGGTATAACTGAAATATTTTGGTAACTCATACATAGACAAAAAAAATTTATTTTTAGGATATATTGTTGATAGTCGAGATGATATTTTAATTATAGCATGCCGTGTTGATGAAGTATAATTACATAATCTTAATTAAATCAAAAAACAACAACATATTCAATTCATTATCTTTTTCTGTTTATTATAATGTGCATGCTTTCTCTTTCATGTTTTTTTCAATATAGATTGATAATCAGATTTAAAAAAAATGAAAATAAATATTCTTGTTTTGAGAATATATGATTAGACTAATCTTACACATGTATCGAATTTAAAACTTGTATCTGATTAGTGTAGATTGACAAAATTCTTTTCAAAATATAATGTAAAATGAATGAAGAAGAAGGTTAAGATTGCGTATGAATCTGTAATAGATGATTAATTAATAATGATTTTCATTATACTTTTAATATCTGTTTGTAATAACTGATGATAAAGAAGGAATACCCTCAAAACATAATTAGTTTATATTCTTGTACTTGATGCAATAGCAAAAGAACATTTTATCTGTTCTTGAACATGTTTGTTCTCAGTAGAAATAATCGTAAGGATATAATAAAGGGGAAGGAGCAATCTGTCAAAATTTTACTTGTCAGAAGTAAGTATATGTGCAAAATAGATAAGGCAATTTTGCAACTAGTACTTAAAAGTAAATTAAAAACTATATTTCGCATTATAAAATGTTGACTATCTTGATTTCGATTGTAGGAAAATAAAGGAATAGCTTCTGACGCTGTATCTTGTGGTATATTTCACTTATTTTTATTAAAATACATTAGTTGATAAAAAGATGAAAGAAGAAAAAAAAGTAACGGATGGTCTATTATAAATCGTCCACTGTTGCATCTCATTTTTCCACCAATTAATACATTGTATGGACTTCGTTTTCAAAAAAAAAAAGCAAAATTTTGTGCGATCAATTTTCTCTAGACGAACGAGAATTACTTTTGTTTTCTTTCATCTTTTTATTGTATATATTGTTTTCGAAATAAGTTCAATTTTGTTATTTTTGTCGATAAAAATACAATTATCTATAAAAGCAGATAGAAGTTTTTCAAGTGCACAAATTCATATAGGAAAGTATTCTATCTATAGAAATGTCTAAGAACTAATGGAGTTTTAATGTAATATGATGGATTGTATTCCTATCTTATCATATGTACTTATTATAACACAAAACATTAATCTTACGAATAATTTATGAAATATACTTTCATTTCAAAACTTTTACATGTATAAAATTTACTATAGAGTTCAATCGCAAAAACATTCAACTAAAATATGAGAAAGTACATTTACATTTGTTTTAGATACTTGATATATACTTAATAAATATATAAATAGTTCTCTCAGTACAATCATAAAGACTCTCTTAAGATTAAAGATATTTTCAGATGCAGAGTCATATAAGATGATACTTAAAAATTCAATATGTTATTAATAGAATATTCAAATTTTCCTATACATTAATATTGTTTGTTTAACGATGCATTAATTTATTACTGCAAGTCATGAAATCTAGAGACAAAAAAGACACCGGTTTCCATCTATATCATCTTATTCTAAAAGATTATACCATTCATAATTTATATAGCGAACAAATTTAGTTATAAAAATAGACAAGAGTTACAGTAACCTTACACCAGTAATGACTGCAAATAATTTCGAAATAGATTTAAACATGTCTGCAAAAGTTCTTTGTCTGATTATATTTTGACATATTTTCGTATTAAAATATCAGACACATTAATCACATAATACGTAGTTCAATATAACGTCTTAATAATAATCGTGACGTAGGCTTTTATGAAATTTTATTGACTAAGGCAGTAAATCTACTCGTTATATGGAAAAAACGTATACAAAATTAATGAATAACTAACCCTTTCCACTCATCCAAGGGACATCTTTGCCTCGATTATTATGTTACATTCAATTATCAACTTGTAATTAACCATAGGTCGTACTTGCATATTATATAGTTACTAATCAAGAACATCAGGTACTGTCGATAACTCCTGGATGTGCCGAAAGCTCAACTAATAACAACTAAATTTGCTACTTTATCAAATAAAATTTCATTTACATTTATTAATGTATTTTTAAAGTACTACAAAACCTTTTTGATACTTGTTTTTTATTTATTGCGTATTTCCCTCACACTGATTAGATTGTAATTATATGCTGAGAAACTACTATTAAAATTAATCTAGATCTAAAAAATATACCTGACTTTTAGATAATTATACGTCGTTTTTCGAAAGCTTTAATTATGCTTTACATAATTATATATCGATAGTTAATTGATAATTCTGAAGAAAAGATTTTAGTCCTGATATTCATAATTACAAAAAACAAATTTTATTTCATTAAAGAAAACTGTATATACATAGACAACAAAATTTAAATTACAATATTCTCCTATCGCAGATAATTTCTTCGATGATGTTTCAATTTTTGCTCAATTTCTTTCCATACATAACTTTTTTCGGAATTTTCATTATGAGAATTAACATCAATAAATTGTTTTAAATATTTCTGTGGTGTTCTTATACTATTTATTGTATGATTCTGTTGATAAATACGACTAGGGAGACTTGTTTGATTAGGTTTATTGTTAATCATATAATTTTTTCCATTTATATTTGGTGTCGTTAACATAATTGAACGATTAAATTCATTTTGTGTACTTAAACCATCTAGACTATCATTGGTTTTTTTCCGGCGTAAATGAAATAATGTAAATGCACGTCGACGTTTTATACGACAACGACGAAAATAATATGCTATATATAATTTAAGTGTTAAACGAAATTTTGGATTTATTGAATAAATATAAAAATTTGCACCATGATTTATAGTTAACATTATATTTGATATACAATATAATTTAATACGTATTTGATTAAAAGAAATTTGTTGTTGATAACTAAATAATGGTGCTATAAATATATTTATGACTTCAACTAGATGTGCACTACGACATATCATATAAACAGTTAAGACACAAACAATCATTAATGTTATACGAAAATATGTATCTTGTTTACGATCATTACGGAATGTTGTATTCGTATTTTTTGTTGTTAGTTGACTTTGAGCTGATCGTAATGCACGTATTAAAAATAACCAAATTAAAAAACATATTAACCATGGAATGAGTAAAGATATTACAACCATTGTTGGATAAAATAGGTGTACAAAAAATGGAGTTCTTAATAGAGATGATGTCTCAAGGCCATAATATTTCACTGAACCATTATTAGTACAAAACATTCGTATGTTTGTATAAAGAAATAAAGGTAAATTAACAAATATTGACAGGATTAAAATAATTATTATTGTATAACGAGCCGTACGTCTATTACAATAATTTTTTGCTACCAATGGTTGCTATAATTAATACAAAAAAAACTTTTTAGTTTAAGAGTATGTGTTTTTTTTAATAGTATTTCTATGTAATCTTCTTCTAGACAATAACAAACTGTATAACAGATGGATATCTTTTCTCATCGATTCAATTTTAAGAATGTTTTCGCAATATATGATGATTGATATTTGTTATTTATTTTGCTAAACAGTTTTCTAACGATTACATTTATTAAAGGAATAAGAAAAGTTCGCATTACTATCCATCTGAAATAACGATATCTATAATCTACTTTCAGATGGCATTCAGAAAACAAATTAATATTTATTTCTTAAAAGATCGCAATGATCCGGAAATTTGTTAATAAGATTTTATGTGTAGGACTTTTGTTATTATGAGAAGAAAAAACAAAATGAAATATTTAGTTATATCTATTAATTAAATTAGATAAGATAGAAAGAATCAATCATCATATACATAATTGATATGTTCGTAAAACATAATTGAAAATGAGATACCCTGTCTATCTTCTGTAGACCGTAATAAACAATTTCCTTGGCATATTTTTTTCAAAAAAAAAAATTTATAGTATCTGTCATTCGCTTCATGACATACTGCAATTAATGTGTACGTCTAGTTCATTGATCGAAGAAAATATAAATCTGTGTTTTTTCTCTTACTTTAACAACGATTAATCGAAATGTTGTTATTAATACAATAAGCCAATTACTAAATGTTGTAAATATATTTGCTAATACATTAAAAATAGCTCGTGTAATAACATGTGTAGTTAAAAATGTTGATGAATCTTGTAAATGTGGTAAAAAATAATAAAATAAAATATTATTCATTGAAACAACTGTTGGTGAAACAAGATCAGCCCATGCAAGTGTAACTAAAAGTGTTGTCATTGTTGAATGCATATGACGTCGTGAAAGAACAAATAAATTAATTAGATTACCCACATCGGATAATATTGATAATATCACACTAATTACACCTAATGTCCAAAAAGCAAAAGGTGAACGAAAATGTATTTCGCCGTGACGGCTTGGATCTAAAATTGTGTTATTAAATTTATTTGATAAAAAAAATATTTATTTTACCTTCGGTACAATTCATCAGGGTATGATGTGTGAGAACAAAAAAAAATTAATAAAAAAATCTTATCTGAAATAATGAAAAACATATGATTGATAAGTTGGTAAACATGGGTTAGGCAAGACAATAATAATTTAACTGACAGATATATTATCACGCTATTACCATTCTCTTTTTTTGTGTTTCTCATAAGACATCGGATGGAACCTATGGGGAATATAAATAAAAAATATGCACTTATTATTACTCTTATCTAAACGGACTATATAAATAACACTGAAACCTTCTTTTCACTCGATATCTCCTCATTAATATTTGATTTTGATGAAGATTATAAAAGCTTGACTAGTGTTGAATGGGTGCGTATATGATATAAATTGAGTTCTACTTCTTTTATCTAATAATATATAAATCTATTAATGGAAAGGTAAAGAAAACACAAGTATATTTTAATATTAAAAGATTTTCTGCAAAAACATGTGACAAAGCCGTTACCTTATATGCGCATTTTAACTTATTAAAGAATATTAATAAATAAAATAAAGAATAGACTATTACTTATCACCTTTGATATTCAAGAAAAATTCTATTTTTTAAATACAAAAGATGTGTCATTTATTTAACATTTCAATCTTATAATATAATAGAAAAAGATAATTATATTACGTACTAATATTAAAAAAATAAACATATACCTTGATCTACAGGAATTCTTGCTGATAAAATACTTTCTCTTTTTTCTTTCTAATTATTGATATGAAATGATTTTACTTACTTTTTGTTTCCAAGTCATATTTAGTGGATTAAAAAAAATGTAATTAAAAAATTCACTCGTTCAAATAAAAATAATGTTAATGATGGATGTCGTTTTTCCGTGACGATAGTTATATATATATGTATGTGAACTGAAGGGTATAAATGAAATATTTTTCAAATAGTTACTTAGACTAATGACATGCTTTGTCAATCTAACCTTTATTCTTGCATATTTTGTTAAATTTAAAATTATAACTATATAGATAAACAGATAAAAACTATGATTACTGTATATCAATAAACTGAAAAACAACTATATTTACGTATAAAATAGTCGTTTGAATGATCATTAATTTGAGTTGTATCTACTCTGTCAGTAATTCATTGAAAATGATAAGCAAGAAGAAAGGAAAACGTGATATATATACTTTCAGACAGTTCTTTACTAATACTTTCCGTTCTTTTCTTCTCTTGTCATTTATAACTAAGGATAGAACATTGAGTACAACAAAGACAAAGAAAGAATCAATTTCTTATTTTCCTATTCATATAGATCTACTCAAATCAAACATGGTATTCATTTTGCTTACTCACTTATTTTTAGAAATAAACAGACACGAACACGTTCAAAGCATATGAAATATTTTTTTTTGTTAACACTTGGCTTGTCTTGTTTCTTTTTTTAGAATAATAAATATAGCGAAGAAGAGAAGAAAAAAAAGATATATAGAAAGAAAAATAATAATATAAAAGAAAAGAATTAATATAGTAATACTAATAATCCAATATGCAAATTGTTTTCTCTAATATTATTTGTTTTTCTTTGAATATGTACTGTTTCTATCAAAAGATAAATGAGACCTGCTATTATCAAGTAAATGCCACGGGTCTGTCATATTGTTTATATATGAATATAAAAGACATAATTATTTGATTTCCGTTTGTGAAATTGTTTAAGGTTAAACTAACAATACATTTTTAAATAGGTGCATATTATTATTATTCATAGACAAGAAATTATCCTAGATTTGAAGATACCAAATCCTTTCTTATTATTTCGTGAACCATTTTTTTTAACGTCTCGTCAATTAGTCGAGAAAAACAGGAGATTATTATAGAATAATTCTTTCATAGTGATCTTGAAAAATTGGAGAAGTTCTCTATTATGGGATAGCGCTTAATACTTCCGATTACCATATTTTAGACAATGATATTATAAAAGAAAAAAGTCTAGTATATAAGAGTAATTTTTCTTTCTCCAGTTTTTTGAGTCCTGGATATGGGTCATGGGGATTCAATGATTGACTCATTTCATCTTTTTATTTGATTACTAATTCGAATAGGCAAAAACAATAAATCTTATTATTCGGTTAACAATGTTCTCTATACAATCTTTTATTTCAATGTATGAATGTGTAATCTATGTCTCTATTGTCTTATATGTTATTTAGTAACGTAAACAATTTTTTTTACAAAAGAACAACATATTACAGAAAACGCTCGGATTATTTCTCAGCATGTTTTCTTACAGCAATTTGATTAAATATATATATTTAGCATATCTTAATTCTAATCATCCTATTGATATCATGCCGTTCAAAGGAGTGAAAAATGTATGTCACAGAAACTCGAGACTGCACTTTTTCAGTGCAAAATAATATCATATTAAATAAAAGAATAATTTATGATTATGTACTGTATCATATTCTTAAAATCTTCTAGATATACATTTCAAACTACTTTCTATTATAGACAGAAAATATTTTCTGTTTTTATATTTTAAATCTAATCTCTAGTGTTATTATTTACTTACTATATTTAATCAGGAAGAAAATGTATTCTTTTTGGTTCATATTAATAAGTATAAATAATAATGATAGAAAATAACATGCAATATCAAGTATTATAATCTATCTTAACACACCCACATATATATATGCATTTCACAAGTTGGCTAATTCAAATGTATCGAATAACTATTATTTTGCACATTGTATGATTGCAACTATAATTTGTCTGATTTTCTTCCTGTTAATCTACACACTTATTTTTTTTTCTAATCGAATGAATAGCATAAAAAAACAAACATGCATGAATGCAACTACAAACACATGATTCTGACAGGTGCCTAGAGGCTGCGTAAAAGAAACAGGCAAGATGAATAATAGAGCTTAGATAAATCTAGCAATATCATTGCGTGATAATGCCATAGACAATACTTTTCTATTCTAACCAGATTTCAATATCTAGACATACATATTACACATTGCTATTAAATTGTTTATTATATGAGTATATATCGTTGAAGGAGCACAGATGTTATGAAAAATATTTTGATTATATGACGTCGTTTCATATATTTCTTTTATTATAAATTCTACTGAAATTTTCTGGATGAAAAATCATTTATATAATTAAATGTGACAAATAAAAACTCATATTTTCTTTTCTCTAAAAATATCTATGAATATCTATTATTAAAAACATTTGATAGCGTAGCAAAACTTTCTCGTCGTTCTTTTGCTGTTGTCATTTTGAATGATGATGATGAGGATGATGAATATTGTCGATTTTTACTTCGTTTTGTTAGATCAGATAATGTTTCAGGTTCGAAATCTTGTTCATCATTACTTGATATTATTGAATTTACATCAATAATACGTACACGACGAGGTGTGGGAGCTGTTAATGGTGGAAAATAAATTCGAACTGGAAGATCACATTGAGATCGTTTGTCTGAATCATCGAGAATTTGTTCAGATGTTGGTGTATGATTTGTTGACGATGTCGGTAACGTTGGATGTCGAAATATTCTTTGATGAAGACGAGCTAAACGAGGTGAACCAAATAATTTTGGTGTTAAATTTGGTATTGTTATTTTTGTTTCAGTAGCTGATTTTCGTCTTGGTACAGATGGATGTTGTTGTTGTCGACGACGTTGTAACCATGAAGTAATTTGTGCTGCACACATACTTTTACTACGAGAAAAAGTTTCTTTAAGATCAAAACGTGAACGTTTTGAACGTTTTGTATTATTCATTGATGATGTTTTATTATTTGAATCCATTTCATTTGTTATTATTGTTGTTGAATAATGTCCTGTATTGGATGATGATGATGATGGTTGTATTTGTGATATAGTTGTTTGTAGAGGAATCATTGGATCAGGTAGATAGTGTTGAGGATATTCAAAAGTGTCTATAAGTGATAATTTACGTAAACAACTACGAATTGGAACAAATCGAACATGAGTTTGATTTTCACTTGAAATTGTTCGTTGAGTAGTTCTACAATAAATATTTTCAGTTTTGATCAATTATTTTTTTTATTTTTCTATATCATATCATGCAAAGTATGTGAAATTAAATAGTAAAGCTAATTTTCAATATCCCTCGAGCACTATCCTCATTTTTTCGCACGAAAGAGGTCATGTAGATCCAGACAGACTCACATACAATTACGCTATAGGAATCGGGAGGGTGGGTGTAGGATATAGGAAAGTTACTGACATTCACTCCCCACACCCACACCCACACCCACCCCTAATTCTATGTAAGGAGATAAACCTTCGAGATGATAGGGGGCTCATTGAACAAGAAAACAAAACCACATATATAACACCATAAATGTCGCAGGGTCCGTATGGATCCACCCCTTAATTTTTTCCCTGTTAGAGGCATCGGAGGAATTTTATATGGTCTTCGTGCATTGTTAGAAGAATAACGATTAGAAAAAAGATCGATCCGAAAGACAAAAATCAGCGTTGTGGGTTCGATTGGACTCCCAAACAGCGTACGAGGGATATATTTTTAAAGTAATCTATCAATATATAAACATATCAATATCATATTCTTTGTATATCTTGTCTTATAAATAGACATATGTCATTCTTTATTTGATTGAATATATAAAATGTCAATAGAGACAATATTTTTCCTATACTTAGTACAATTCGAAGGAATGTCGTAGATGGATAAGACTAAAGTTATTTTCACATACTTTAATTGTTGTAATAATTGTAAATCTTTAATAGAATCTTGTTCAAATTTTTGTCGATTTCGTTTAAATTGTTCCAATTGATCAAAGAATTTTTTATTAAATAAAATTGCTTGTTCACTTGGTTTATTCAATGTACCATCTAATACATCTGAATATGCAGCACTTTGTACAGCTAATATCCATGATGCTGGCATAGATATTAATGTTTGTAATGAACGACAACGTCGAGGTAAATATGATTGATCATATTCTCTTATATTGATCATTGATTGTTGTTTCATAGAATTTTTTGTACAAAAAATATTTGTTTTTAATGTTTTTAAATTTGTTTCAAGTTCTTTTAATACATTTATTTTCTGTTGAAGATATTCATGACAATGACGAAGTGAGATTTCTTCAGACATAATTTCACGCCATTGATGAACTATAAGTGATCGTTGATTAGGTGAAAGAATTGGACCTAATGTTGGTAAATCTATTTCATGTTCAAGATTAGATTCTTCAATTATTGATGGATAATTATCGGTAATTAATGTTGAATCTCTAGGTTTCGTCGTTGTTTCGTTAATTATTACAACCATAGATGGTTTTCGAGAAATATTGTTTGAATCACTTTTTGTTGTTACTGATTGTCGACGGTAATTGACTAGAAAAAGTATATTTAATTAATGAAAAGAAAGAAGTATGATTTTTCTAACCAAGAAAATGACTTTTTTGCATTGTTTGCCATTCACGCATTTTTTGTTGATAAGATTTTGTTAAAGCTGGCGCTAATTGTGCTGTTAGAATAGCATGATTTAAACCTGAACCTATTTTAAAATATTTCGATAGAAAGAAAAGTGTCAGAAAATATCACACCTATATCATCAAGTGTTGATCCATGTGATTGATGAAAAAGGCGTATAGATGTAGATGAACTTTGATCACTAAATTGTCTTTTAACAGTATCCAATTTAGAACGAAGTTTACGTCGATAACGAGCTAAATTAGACAACAGACAAAAAACATAGAAATCGATATGTATAATTCAAGAAATTTCATGTATCTAGTAATGATTATCATTGAAACATGACGAGAAGTTTTGCTATATTTGACATTTCTCATTAATGATTGAGAATATAAGATAATACATTCGTTTTTATTATCTAAGAATATAATCAAGTATGACTATCTGATTTCTGTAAAATGTTCCATATGTTATAGAGTTTCTTTTTCTCTTTTACCAAGTCATGTTGTAGTGATAACAGTACCATGTGCTGATTTTCTGTTTATCTTAATATTCGCTTAACTGATAACATAAAGAATTAAGTATTTTATTAATTTATTAAGCCAATAACGTACAAGGCTTTGCATTGACTACATATCGTATTTCAACTATACCTAATATATCGAATAAAACATATAAACATAATTATGTATGAAAAATGTAACAGCTATAGTTAAGTTAATAACGATAAAGATCAAATAATACTACTTCTCGTTATACGTTATTTTGATCATTTAGAATTAAATAAAGTCGATGTCAGTTCAGTTTAGCATTATGTCTTGCAATAAAACATCTGCCTCTTATTTAAAAAAATCAGTTTCCGTTAAGAGACTTCGTGCGGAGATAAATGTATGGAAAATTAGCTCGACATCTATTAAAAACTGTTTTCGATGTTTTTCTCTCTATTAATTTACTTTGCACGATGTACTCAAGAATTCTCTGAAGACTCATAGTTTATAGAACAAATCACAACACATGGCATATATTGATACTTATACAATTAGATATCTATTTGGCGTCATACATTCTAACCTACTTGAGTCTCTATTTGCTTTTGAAGTTTTATATGAATGAGTGATATTCAACAATCTAATTTTTTTACTATACACAGAATGGAAATCATGAATATAGAATAAAAGTCATGATCTTCTAACTGAAGAATCTAAAATTTAGTTATATTTTTCTTTTACTTGTAAATTATTGGCAGGAACTTATGTAGATAGATTAATATTATGTTGAAGAAAAAAACATATTATTTCTAAGTTTTCTTTATCTTATCAAGTCTAAAAATAGACGTTTTTTTAGTATATACCTATTTTTGATTGTTTACGTGTTAATAAATTTTCATCATCCATACTCGTCGTATTATTCGTAGAACGTAAATTTATAACGGATGCTTCTTGACGTTCAGTACTTGATGAAGTTGCTGTATGATCTTCGTAAAGTCTTCGTTTATGATATGCTCTAACAAATTGTCTTGATTCATCATCTTGATCACTATCGTCACCAATAGTTCTCTGTTGATTATCGGTTGTGATTACAGTTTTCTTTTTTTTCTTCTTTAACCGTTTATTATCTTGTAAATGATCATCATCGCTCTCTATAGATACATTAATTGTTGGTATTTGTCGATCAACATGTAACAATGGAGGACTCGTTGTATAATCATTTTTTCGTCGAAGAGAAAATTTAAAAGCATGTCGAACTTTATTCCAATTATTCCAAGTTGTTAAACCTTTTTGATAAATAGATGAAGAATTGAATTGAAAGTAAATATTTTGTCAAACATACCCAAATTCTGATCGTTTTGATCAGGTTGATCGTGATCATTTAGGAATATTGATGAAGAATTATCTTGTTGATTATCATAATTTATACCTTTTAAAAAGAAATGTCAAAACTGACAGATGTCAAGATTAAATGAACAGTCATTCATTAATCCCTTTTTTTCTTCTTTAAATGTTAATTTTAGATGACGCAAAATAGAAAATAAATGTATAAACTAGATAATAAACTTTACCTTTTTGTTCTCGATTTGATTTTGACTGTTTAATCTTGAATGAATTCGATGGTGATAATGTCTTCGATCTATCTTCACGTTTTTCTTTTTGATCAGTAGAATTTTCTTTTAATGAAATTCGTTGTTGAAATTTACTAATATGATCATTTAGTTCAATATGAGCACGTAAATGATCATTTTCAGCTTTTAATTGATGAATTTGTTCGATAAGACAACATAAATTATTAAGTACACATAAGCCTGTTGTCATTGTTGTTGCTGTTGTTGTATAATTATTAGTATTTGATATCAATCGTGAAGGTGATGACGATGATGATGATGGAGATTTTGTTCTACCAAGGCCCATTTGTTTGGCAAATTGAAGAAATTCATTTGGTGTTGTCATTACTATACTAAACTACAAAATAAATCATATACTCACATTATTATGATGAATCTTTTCTTTCATCAACTTTATCATTTCTCTCCTCCTCTGCTACGCTTTCCAGGAGTATGATAATAAAAAAAAAAAAACGTTCCTAATGAAGCCTGTATCGACACATCATTTCTATCTCTAAACATGCGTATGTTCTTCATCATATTCGCTATTCGTGTCTTCAACCGAGAATGATATCGCACATGATGACGACAACTCAACTGATGATGTTTGATCGTTCTTTTCCAACTGGTTGCTTATAGATACTTGATGCTAAAATACATACAAATAACTCTATTTGCCTTTTGGTTTCTAATACGTACTATTTGCATAAATGTATATATAGTTTTTTAATAAGATCTTTCAAGTCATGTCATTTTTGGTATTGAGAAATTAATGTAAAAGAAACACGATACAATTCAATAGTGGCAAATGTCAACAGTAAGAGATGGAAGTTTGTTGATAGATTTATATTAGTGTCTATATGAAAAAACACTAAGATATAATAACCTTGCATATCTTTCTCACAAGTTCACAAGTGCTATTTTCCTAAGAATGATTAGTAAGAAAACACACAAGGATACTATTAGAAGCTCTAGTTAAATAAAGAAAAATAAACAAATACCCTTGTTTATAGATTCTAGGTGAAGAAATATCAATTCATCAATATACATTTTTATCAGCACGTATGTATTAAGGCAATACAGCCTATTAATTTCTCCTGCTGTGGGATTATTCATTTATCGCAATTATATTATTCTTCTCGTAATATACTACATCATATATTAATAGCAATAATAATATAAGAAACATCTGCTATACATTTCATTAAAAAGATTTACTTACTTCATCAAATAAATAATAATAATAATAATAATAAAGAAGGTTGAAATTTTTCTTCGAATAAAGTCGAATGTATTTAATTACATCCAAATATTTTATTGAAGAAAAATGATTATCTTCTTGTTATAATAAAGAAGAACGAAAATTTGAGTAGTTATTTACTACTCGTCGTAGTGGAAATATGAGATTTATCTCATCGACACATCTAACTATAGAGAAGTTTGCTAGAAAAATAACAACAGCAACAGCATTGTCAACAATAAGAACAAGTGCACATAAATAATTACTTAAAGTTTTGATAACCGTAACAATTGACGTCATAGACTTCTCATTTACAAATAAATCAACTAAAGAAATGTGCCTTGTGTTGTACTAGATTATTTTCTGTTGTTTTCCTTCTCTCTTCCTATGTCTTGTTTTGAGTAGATGACAGTCCATTAGTTTCTCTCTCTCTCTCTCTCTCTCTCTGTGTTATACTCTATACGTAGATTTATATTTTATAAGAAGAAGAAAAAAAAGGCATTGTTGTTTGATATTCCTACAGATTCACCTTGAGTCGTTTTCCTCTATATATAGAATTTATCTCGCTTGAAATCTTATTAATTAAATATTCCAACAATATTAATGAGAAGTTTTTTAATTAAATCACCATAGTACATACTTATTTTGGTTAAGAAATGTATATTATTTTGATATATATATAAATGAATAGAATAAATACAAGAGAGCATCAATTAAATATATCTCTTATTTGAAAACAAAACATTTACCTTTTAAAAAGTAACATTCAACACAGTTGTTTCGGACAAAAATAGAACAATTTATTGTCTGTTGCAGAAGAGAATGAAAAAAAGGGTCTTAACGACTTTTACATCATATATGTGTACTATCGACTAACACATTGTCAGAAACATATCCTTTCATTTTTGACGATCTTTTATGAAACACATCATGTAACTTACATTAATATATTCAATTACATATCAAGTTTATTATGAAATATCTGATAATATATGGTTTATATATACGCATCTGCTATTGTTCTCAACATATTATTTTTTCTTCTCTAGTATAAAAACTCAAACAGAAAAGCACAGCAATAATAAAAAGACTAAGAAAAAAAAATGAAAGAAAAACAAAATAACATAATTAAAAAAAATCATGTTTGAGTTATAATATGGACGTTAAAAGAGAAAGAATGTTTATATATTTTCCTGATGATTATTTAAATTTGGCCTTCAGCAAATAAGGACATAACTTGTGGTGCAGCTGAATCAAAACCAACAACATCAAGCATGCCTTTATCATTTGGATCAGCAATAGTAAAACCATTTGATTGCATTCCAACAACAATTAATTTAGCATTCGGACAATTCATTTTTTGTCGATATTGTTTTAATGCTTCTGTTGGATGAATTTTACCAAACCATGTTTCACTATCCGTATAAACAATGAATACATCGATATTTTCTAAATATTAAATAGAAATTTTGTTTTTATCAAATTAAAAATAATTTTAACATACCCTTATGATCAATAGCCCAAAGCATGGGTAATGCACAATCAGTTCCACCCATTGAAATTGCACGTGTAGTTGTCATGACACTTTCAAGGTTTGCATCTTTTGTAATATTAACTGGAATAAGTTCATGAGAAAAGGCAACAACCTAAACAAAAATAATAAAAGCTAGTGATTGATTCATTTAAATATATACATACTTTTGCGTATGGTTCTGTTCGAAGTGTTACCATACACATAGCACATGAGCCAACAGCTGGTGTTATTGATGGTGAACCATTAATTGTACCACATGACATACTACCACTAACATCAAGTGCAAGTAAATAACGTTGATTTGTAGGTTTAACAAATTTAAATGAAAGATAAAAAGCTTCTTCTAATGCATTTTTAATATTATCACTAACAGTCCATTTTAGTTTGCCTTTGAAACCATGACCTTGTTTATATGTTTCTAATGCAACAAGAACATTAAATGGATGAATACGTGCACGTTGTAATTGTTCACGGTTTTTTAATCGTTGAATAATAAGTTTTTCTGCATCACTATTTTCAGTTAATAAATTAATTTCCGACATTTTACCTAAAAAAAACAAATTTATATTTAAATTTGGTTGAAAAAAAAAAGATTAAGAATACTAACCAAGATTACGAATCATCGCTGTTAATGGCATTTTTTCTAATAATACTGACCAAATAGCTGTTGAATTTAACATACCAGTTGGCATATGTTCTCGAACAAGATTATGTTGTCGAATAGCCGTAACAAGTTCATTGTCATCAGTTGATGTTTTCATTTTTTCAACTGTTTCTAAAAATTCTTTTAATTGTTCTACAGTCACTAATTTTTTATTAAATTCTTCAGCATCTTCATCATTCTCATTATTTATATGTGCTTGTTGTTTACCATCTGTAACAGTAGTTTCAGTTTTAGTACTATCATTGGTTGTTTCTTTTGGTTTATTTAAATTTTCAATTGCTTTTGCTAATCCATGAGTAATATAATCAAATAAAAAGCAAAGTAATGGATCTTTTGTACTTGGATGTGCTAAACGAAGTACATCTCGATGGGAATAACCTTCACGACTTTGATATTTTGTTATAGCCATAGCTAATTTACTAGCATTTTGTTCCGTATACCATTTTGATACAGCTCGACGTTGTGCTCGTCCCCAATTTTGACCAAGAGCATGAGCATATTTAATAAACCTAAATAATCAATATATAAAAATAAATAATTTAGAATAAAACTAAGAACACATACATAAATAGATGAGTTGGAATACGACAAATTTCTGATAATGACGTATAAGCAGCTTGTTTTGTTTTTAAATCTGTCGATTTTGCACATAGAGCTAAGGCAAACATGATCGGATTTTGTTTTGATGTACGTCCTTCAAGAGAATAGGTTTTGATCGTTTCAACAACTTCTGTTCCGCGTCCATTTTCGATTAATTTTAATATAGCTTGGGCATTTTCAATACCGAGTTCTTTTTCTCCTTGATAATATGTACCACCTTCACTACCCAAACATAGAAAACGGCGAAGTCGTTGCATATCATCAACAGCCCACGCAAAGCCACCTTAAAATAAAAAGAAAAGTTATTTTCGGACACTTCAAAAATAAAACAAAAATTCATACCTGCATTATTTTGTACTTGATCTCCTCTTAATGGTTCGGATTGTGGTATCGTTTCTGCACTCATAATGCCAAATAGTTAATAAATATGAACAAGAAAATTAATCTTAAAAATAAAAATAAACATGAATTATTACGAATATTTAAAAAAGGTAATTGATTCTTTGTTAATATTCTGAATAAAAATAGAAAAAAATTACGTAAGAAAAACTCTCTTTTGTATCCATTCTAATGTATAATTAAATATTTCCTCTCGTTCGGGTTCACTATGTAATTCATGAAAACAATTTGGCCAACTTTTAAAATCAATATTTTCTCCTCGTTCAGAAAATTTTAAACTTGCATCATGACTAGTTATTGAATCAGCATGACCATGTTGAACTAAAACTGGGATATGAAATCTACAACTTGCTCGATCAAGTTTAGATGCAACACCACCTATACTATGAGCAAGTGATAATGTTGCTGAACGACGTATAGAATTATCTTGTCCATATGAATGAATAATAGTTTCATCACGTGTTATTCTATGTGGATCAAATCGAAGTCGAACATTTAAAGATGGCCGAAATCGACATACTGTTCGAATTATTTTGAAAACAGGACGTGGCGGTTGAAGTGATCCTGCAAGACGAATCCAAGGACCTGAAACTATTACAGCTTGATATGGACATTTATCTGTTTTATTTGGAAATCGATTGAGTGTATATGATAATACTATACATCCACCCATTGAATGTCCATAAAGTATAGCTGGACATGATGGATATCTTGTTCTTGCTTCTCTTAATAATCTATCCAAATCATTATAAACCGCTTCCGATGTTGGAATAAATCCATGTTTTCCAGCACTTTGACCATGACCACGAAGATCCATTGCAATTATTGCAAAATTATTATCATGAAAATAATCAATTAAATGTTCATATCGGCCACTATGTTCAGCAAGACCATGTATAAGAATTAATAGAGCACGTGGATATTTGGCATATTTTGATGGTCGATGATAACCAGCAAGTAGAAGACCATCAAAAGAAACTATAGGGAAGTAATTCATATTATTTGTACGATTCAATCATTAGACATATGTACGCATTTATTTTACTTCACATGAGTCTATTACTACATTTATATATATGTATATATTATTTTTTTTTATTTATTCTCGCAATAAACGCTTATATGTGATACTTACCTGACAATTTAAGAGTAGGAAAGAATAGAGAGAGAGAGAAAAAAATCATCGAATGGTCATTATATTACACAGATAAGAAAAAAAATGATACGTATATTTTTCAAAAATAGATTGTTAATAGTCTATTCAAGCATGTCACCTATTATCAATGAATAAGTATGTCTGTGTTTTTTTTTTCTTCATAAAAAGATGTATTCTATTCAAAAATAAAATGTAATGTTCTCCGTGTTTCTACACTTGTTTAAAAAGAAAAATATTGCACAAGTATGACTCAATAAAATATGTTTTGGCTATTTATATACTTCGTAATCTTACAGAACTTTCATCATTTTTACGTAAAGAACTGAAAGCTTTGTTTCAACAACATATGAAAAATATAATTATGAATATTATAGAAATAAACAAGAATAAGAAGTAGACAGTACGGATCACAAGGACAAATAATCAACAGTTCCTTGAAGATATTGGCTAGGCAGAAAAAATAACATAGAAAAAAGAAACGTTATTCATTGGGTGAATAACTGTTCTTGCTCCATCTTTTTACATTATAATGAAAGATGGTGCAATTTAGTAGATAAATAAATAGAACATTATATTACTGATAATTATTCATACAACAAATATAAAAAAAAACTTATCAGATTAATTGCATAATAATTATGAAATATATTACATCAAGTATGATTTTCTTTCGAAAATTTCAAGCGACATGGTTTATTATGATGCAGAAAAGCCATACATCAAATATTTGATTTATATAAGTGAAAAATTTCAAATGTAAAAAAATACCTTACAATTTAAAAGTTCTGTTTGTAATAATACGAAATCATATAATTGTAGAATAATATAGGACAATATGAAGATTTTAATTAGTTTACATCTAAAATAAAAAATTCATTTATTCTACATTAGTAGAAAAATCTTGTACGGAGTACTAAATTATGCATGTACTTTTTTACCGTTTAAAAATACTGTCTGGTGTATTTTCGACTTTCCTTTTTTCTTATCAATTCTTTTTGCTTTCCTAATCTTTTTTCGGGTGATATATTCTCATGGACGTGATAAACTAAATCAAATAAAGAAAAAATTTAATTCACATTCTATCGATTTTAAATACAGATTCTTGAATAAATCTGATCTACATTCATACATGTTATGGAATTATCCCATATATTTTCTTTTCTATATATGTGATCTTTCTTTCGTTCTGTGGCCTCGATATGTTCTTTTCCTAGTTAAGATTTCTTATATATATAACCCAGGTATTTTCCTATGATATCATACGGGAAATATCCAGCTAGTCTATATATATATAGAGATTATGTTATACGGTGTGTGATTAGTTAAACTTATTATTTTTAAAATAAACAAGCTAAGCAAAAGAAGAATAGATCTAACAATACTCACAAAAAAGAAATGTATTCGGATATTTTCAATATTTAGTTTTCAATGTTACGTTCTATCTAATCAAAGATAATCTTGATTTCTATAATTCGATCTTGTCATATACTTACAAGATTTTATTATTTTATTTACTCTCGTTCTTTTTACCCGTACGTAACCTACCCTTCCATATGATGGAAAAATACTTCCAAGTGTTATCACATGAATCTTCCATCCAATGTAATATAAAACGACAGTTATTTCTATCTCAACCTAGTCTCATCATGCTACATATGCTATTAGAGATTATCAAGCTTCGAACTTCTTTGCTTTTGTAAATCTAGACTTGTGTAGATTATAATCTGAATTTTCTTTTTCTCTACGTATGAAATTAACTATTAATTAAATTGGAAATTTTCTTTTACGGATAATTAATGAGACAATCAATCCAAATGATCGCAAATAAACATTTACCTTATTTTCCAAACGATGACAACATGTGGAGGAAGGAAGTCTGAGGAGAATCAAATAAACTGGAAACATAAACAAATCAGTGGGAAAAATTCTAAGCAACAAGAAAGAAGAAAAGTATACATTTATTTATAGATATCGTACATGTTATTCGGAAGAAGAAAAAAAGAAAATATACATCAAAGTATCCCCTAAAAATGTGTTTAATCATCTTTAAATTATATCATTACGAACTGTCTTCTTAGATTGAATATACCTACTAATCGAACAGTGAACATATTTTAAATCTATATAGACTCTTTACTTGTATCGGATCAAATTCTTTTCTATATTCCATTTGTATTATCTAAAACTTCAAGGTTGCATCTACTCATCAATTTCTACTAGACATTGTATTACAAAAATTATTTTCAAACCGGCCTTGAGATTATGTCCAAAAAACAGTACATAAAAAATGATGAATGTTATAGAAAAATAAAAGAATAAACAATACAGTTACTTTATTAATTGCAATCAGATGTTGATCGTATTGAAAATGTGCACCATTTCATTCTTTCTTTTTTTTTTATTTTTTATTTTTTGTTATCTTTTTTTTTATGTGTTCATTTTTTTTTAGATATTTTCAGTTATTTTTTTTCCTTTTTTTTTTAATTTTTTTAAATTTTTTTCTTTTTTTTTTTTAATGAAATGGTGAAAAATCCGAATATCAAGACGTAGCCAAAACACATGTATTCGTGCATATCATGTCCTATAGTTCTTTTTTTTAAAAGAAAAAAACAAATTGATTAGTCGTTTAGGAATAAACATATTGTAAAAACAAAAAGAACAAGAAGATTTTTTCGCGAGTTTTATCATCTGTTTGAATTTTTTTTTTCTTAATATCCCACAACAATGATAAAGAAATAAAGTACAGAAAAAACAACTACAATTGACAGAGACAAAAAACATGAAATAACATTAGATTTTCCTCACCGAACGAAATACATCTATATTGCCGTCGGAATATTATTTCTTGTCTATTTTGTTAATTATAATTTTAATAAGGTGAATAGAAATAATTTGAACGACCACGGCCACTAGTAAATAAAATAAATCAGAATATTCTACTATTTGAAAGAGACAAAAAAAAAACTTTCATACCGAAATGTAGGTCGAGCAATTCGACCGCGATATGGTGCAGTAATGTAAGGCATATAAGCTCCGCCGCGTGGCATTCGACCACGTCCAAAACCACGGAGTGCGCCACGAGGTGGACGATCAGTCGTTGAAACACCAGGACGATTTGTTCGTTTTTCAGTTACCTAATTATGAAGATAAATAGAAATATCAAAAATATTTTTCTGAATTTACTTTTATTTGTCGTCCTTTAAATAATGAATCATCAAGAGCAAGAGCCGTTTGTATAGAATCTCTATCAGAAAATTCAACATACGCAAAACTAAAATAAAAAATAAAATTTGTGTTCCTAATAGTATATCTCTCAATTAATCCAAATTTATATATATTCGTTAGTCAAAATAGTATAGTACACACTACATTAATAGTAATTTTATATGTTATGTTTTCAAATTTCATACCCTTTTGGTTGTCCAGTAAATTTGTCACATAAAATAGTTACACGATGAATTGATCCACAACCATGAAAATGATTTTCGAGTTCCTGTGCTGTCGCTGAATAATCAACCTATTCACATATATATAAGTATAAGTAATAAAACTAATTGAGTGTCTATTTACATTTCCAACGTATACTGATTTTTGATCTGCTTCCATTTTTTCCTCGATTGTCGGAAATGATGCTAATAATACACAATAATTGATATATAATAAAAATGAATAGAAAAAAAAAATCATTCTATTTACATGTTCCTGTTGAACCAGGGGTACCACCCATTTGTTTTTCAACTTCAACTTGCATTTGTTTTAATTTTTCAGCTTCCTCTTCCATTTCATTAATACGTTGTCGCATTGTTTCAATATCAGTTTCATCTGTAATTTCTGATGAATCCAAAAGTGACTCCGATAAACTTTCTTGTCGACTTGGACTAAGAAGAATATCAGCACTAGTCGCAAACATTCCATTGTTATTAATTCCATTTTGTGTTGTTATACCATTTGCATCCATTTTTTGAACGAATGAATAGATTATTAATGTGTCTGACAAATGGGATGAAATTACTATGAATAGGTAATAGAATACAAAAAGAAAAACAAATAAAGGATAATAGAAAACAATACGTTATATGATTGGTTATTTCAAGACATGGAAAAGTTTCTTTCAAATTAAAAAGAAATCAATACAAAAATTTATTTATATGTTTTTAAAATTTTCATTATGATTTTGAAAAGATGGCGATAGATACCGCTTGCAAAAAAATGATTGAATATTGAATAGTCCAATAGAAATACAGCTATTTTTCTGATTTTTGTTGTGTTATGTTATTCATCGGACACGAACACATCATCTGATCGAATGAATGATAATGAAATATTGAATACGATGCAGTATTTTAGTACGTATAGGGATAAACTGTTCATCTGTATTCATAAAAAACGATACATACATTATTTTTGTTTCCTATATAAATAGTTCAATTTAATACGAGATTATTGAGATATTCCTAAAGGGCTAACGACTTTTTCTTTTAACATATATGTATATCTTTATTTTAGAATAAATTAAATGTGAATTAAGCTCAATAATTCCATGCTTGATCTAATCACACGTCGGCGTTTATTGGTCTTTCTTTTTGCCATATTTTTTGTTATTTTAAGTGTTCTATTTTTTGGTCGTGCAATTCCATCAATTTCACGACGTACACCATTGAAACTTGAAATAGAACAACCAGTTAGTGAATGTTATTTAACTGAATCAATAGATGTTATTGGAATATGTGAGAAATGTACATCTTATCAACGTCGTTCAAAAGCAAATGGTTGTTTACCAACTGGTTATAGAGAATTAGTACTTTGTACAAAATCAAATATAAAAACAAATCGTTCATGTCAAATGCCTGTTTATATTCAAAAACAACATTTTTGGTTATTTGAAGTTATGATGATTATTGTTGGATTAATCGCAATATTTAGTGCTCAATCAAGGCAAAAAATTTTAGATAAACAAATGGTTGAAAAAATCAAGAAACAGATTGGTGAAAGTGATGAATGATTATTTCGATTTACATCTGAATTTTATTGCAGAATGTTTTTTTTTCTGTAAATAGTATGGTGAACTGTATTTTATTTATTTTGTTGTTTTTTTTTGATTGAATAAATAAACTTATATATCATGAAAAGATAGTTAGAATGAAGAGAATACAAATAATATATGTGTAATCATTTTATTACTTAAATAAATTCTATCTTTACATGATGAATGAAATAATAAATTCAAAGGTGAATACTGCTTGCAATATGTTTCATTGGTTGAGTTTTAAAATAAACGGTAATGTACTTTTTATATATCCAGTGTATTACCCTGATAAATATTGTAGTTAAAACAAACTTCATGACTTTGTTGCGTAATGGAGAACAGGCTTAATAACGTTTGTCCTTAGACTAGAACTTACTCTTATCATGACCCTTTGATTAAACAAAAAGTGTGCCGAAAACTAGCAGCTTTAACAGACTTGATGTTATCATTTTTCACTCTTTCTTTTTTTTGTATGAATTCTTATCTATTATCATTTAGAAAAAAAACTTAAGTCAAACGTTGGCTGTGATATCTTTGTGTATATAATATCTTATTTGATATAAATTTTTTTATAGATTCATTTTCAAGTAAAACGCTGCTATATATACCCCGGCATTTTTTTATACTTCTTTTTTTTGCTACGATAATAACCACATACTGTAAGACTTTATATTTGTTCCTATTCTAACTGAGAGCCATTTATTGTCATTATTTAAGTTGTGGTTTTTAAATAATGTACGTTTCAACATATGGTGTATTTATCCTTTTGGGTATCGCTCTTTGCTGTGGACTTCCAACTAAAACTCCCAATGCATGTGGCTATGATGTGAGAGAATATATTATAATCAAAATTATTATTATTATTATTATATCTATAGGCATGCAATTTAGGAGATCCAAATAAATTGAATGTGCATATCGTTGCACATACACATGACGATGTTGGATGGCTAAAAACTGTTGATCAATATTATTACG